TTATTCACATACCGCGCTTAGTAATAATAATAATTTGTAGTGATCTCAATAGACTAAATTAGGTTTAGACGGGTTGGGTCAAAAGCAACCAGGAGTAAACGTAAATTTTACAAGACAAGGTCAAAACCATAGAAAAGATAAGATTTTAAAGATAGATGATTTAAAATTTTAATATTATTTTATTAATGGTTAGTTGTACTATTAGCTTAATGGTTTGAATGTTTTAAAAAATATTATTATTATACTGAATCTATTCTTAGAAATAGGGTGTGTTTGGCACAGAGCTTTTGGTAGCGTTTAGGAGCTTCTAGCTTTTAGCATTTGACAAAACGCTCTAGTTTAAACAAAAAGCTTCGTTTGGCAGTACAAGCGTTTAGCTTTTAGTTTTATCAAAACGCTCCGATTCTAAAAGCTACTTCATGTAGCTTTTAACAAAACGCTCCAGAGCTTTTGAAACAAATTTCCATAATTATCCTTAAAAATATATTTATATACTTTTTTTATTTTTAATCAATTGTCCTTTTATGTAATTTTATATATTTCAAAAGCTTCTAGCTCATTTTGCCAAACATTCATATAACAAATAAAAGCTACAGCTTCCCGCTACCAGCTACCAGCTACATGCTACTAGCTACCCGCTACCAGCTAACCGCTACCCGCTTCCAGCTAACAGCTACTTTTGCCAAACACGCCCATAATAAGATTTCTTTTATAATATATATATATATATATATATATATATATATATATATATATATATATATAAACTCGCAATATACAAATATCTCTCTTATAAGCAATTTACCACATCTTGTCGATCCTCACATAATCCATACTCTCGAATCAAGAAATGATTAGATTTACCTAATACATACTCTCGGATTAGGAATAAATAACTATATATTATCCATACTCTCGGATCACAAATGAATGTTTATGTTTAGTCCATACTCTTAGATCAATAACAAATGACCATGCCTAATCCATACTCTCGGCCCAGGAACAAATGATTATGCATAATCCATAGTCTTGGACCATAGACAAATGATTATGTCTAATCCATACTCTCGAATCAGTGGCAGGTGATTATACCTATTACATACTCCCGGACTAGGGACGAATGTCAGAGTTCTACCCTCCGTGTATATCACAACTAGACTACTACAGAATAAAGCAAGTGTACATATTTTTATAGTAGTATAGGAATGGCAAGTACGGGTTGTTTAACATTAAGAGAATGAGTATGATTTCACTAAAAACTACTACTACTAATTAAACTAGGAAAATACTATAAATTGGGGGGTTTTCTGATTTTACTAGTTCAGAAACTTATAGCATCAATTCAACTTTTAAATTAACTAACGATTACTTAAACTAATACAAACAAAACAGATAACGACTTAAACCAAGATAAAATAGTACCTTCGTTTAGCTTTAACTCACCTCTCCCTTATGGTTGATTTCTTTAATAGTGTAATAGATTTATTAGTTGGTTACCGAATTCTAATGTGACTAGTTATCTTCATCAGATTTCCTAGTGCTAACAATTAATGAACGACTAATACAATGATCATGCAATTAGTAAACATGCAATTTATATAAATATATTCGGACTATGAATTATTTGATCTAATGATTTCTGATCTATGTTCAAGATAATCAATCAAGCATATAATATGGATATTTAATGCTCTCTAACACAATTAAATTTACCAATGAATATTACCTAACCCTAGAATTCGTTTAATCTCTAGATCCAACAATTTAATGATCATAAACACTTAAAAATCAAGTTAATGTGATTGGAGTGATCATCTAATTACACATAACTCATACATAGGGAGTAAAAATGAGAACTTTAACATAATAGGTAAACGATCTATCAAACACAAGTATTAACCAAGCTAAATAATCCAATATTAATGAAATCAACACAAGTATCAAGGTTAATCTCCACCAAATGAAAGTGAAGGGTTATTTGCTCGTGACTAAAGCAGAAAAACAACTAAAGACGATGTAAACTTCACTAAACATGTTTAGATAAACAAACTAAATGATTAATGTGTTCTCCATGCCCCTGATCTCTTCAAATCTTGTTCTCCAATCGATCTCTAACCTCCTTAGGTTTCTAAGGGCTCTTTTGTCGCACTTAGTCGCAGAAAATCTAGCTCCCCTTTCCATAATGATTTAGAATCGTATTTACAGAATTTCCATAAATCACGCCACCACACCGTGGCATATGTGAGGACGAAAAACATATTTGTAAGAAAGAAGAACGTTATCATCTTCCAGCGGCATCATCATCTTCGTCTTCATTACGGTTTCGCCTGAGAAAATAATAGGCGGTGAATCAAATTTGTCACCTCTACCACCGACTAACGAAGAGATCCAAATCTATTGGTAGGGCGAACACGGCGTTGCAAACGTTGGCGGCTCTTCGAAGGAGAGACTACAAAGGCGTTGTATCCTTAATATGTAGCTCATCTGATTTCAAAAACCGTAAAATGGCGACGGCTCAGTTTGTTTCTTCGATTTCTGATTTGTTTCTTTGTGACCAAAGAGATGGCCGACGGTGTTTCCAAAAAAAAAAAAAAAAGACATGGTGCCTGATGGTGTTTTTCGATAAGAATGGCAAGTGAGAGAGAGAGAGAGATGTGTATTAAAGTGGAAGATGAGGGGTGGAGTAGTACTTTATTTTTGCTTTTTGTTTAACTGTTGTAATAAACAAATAAAAAAAACAATTAAAAATGGTAAATTCATCATTTCATGAATTTTTAAAAAAAATTGGACCAAAACCCTAACAAAAATTCTATTTTGGTCCAAAACTTTTTGGACTAAAATGATAAATTTGGACTACACATAAGGAGCATTCTTGCAATTTAGTCCATTATTGTATTTGCAATTATGGCTCTTATTTACTCCACATGGACTACTTTGTCATATTTTTGCAATTAATGCTTCTGATGTCCATCCACTGGATGATCACCAACAGGAAACAACATACTGAATCGGGAGTTTCTAACCACATGGGTGTTTTGTAAAAAATTATTTACCTAAAAGGTGTGCTTTTAAACATATTTACCAAACAAGGATATTTTGAAATAAATTCGTTACCCTGCTCCAAAACACGCGTTTACATCGTGATTCCTCCGGTGGCCTCCATCTCCGGTCGGATGCCGCCATCTCCGGCCACACCAAACGTCGGCACTTAATCCATGTCATTAATTGCTGTCCTCCGACACTTCCACCACGACCGCTCACCTCCGGCGCCTCTTCAACCGCTACCATCTCTATCAAGATTCAAAGGTTCTAAAGTCTAACTTCAAATTCATCTTCTAAGTATACGTGATTGTAAATTAACTGCATTTTTTCTGATTTCATCTTTAATCTTTCTGATTTCTAGGTTCCATCTTTCTGGTTTCATGTTTCCTAATTTCATCTTTCTGATTTCTAGGTTCCATCTTTCTGGTTTCATGTTTCCTAATTTCATCTTTCTGATTTCAAGCTTCCAGCTTTTCTGTTTTCCATCTTTCTAATGAGTTTCGTTGAATGTAGAATAGATCTGGATTTTTCTGATTTTATCTTTAATCTTTCTGATTACAGGGTTATCATGTTTCCTGATTTCATATTTCTGATTTCAATTCATGTTTTCCATCTTAGTAATAAGTTTCATTGATTGTAGATTAGATCTGGATCTGATAGCACAACAAAAACGAAATCCCTCAGAAAGAAAACTTCAAAGATTAGAGATTTCATATCTTAATTCTGTTAAAGAAAGAGAGTTCTAAACTGTACTTTGTTAAAAGATCGATTAAAAGTTGTTTCCCTATGTAGTGCATAGTTCAGTAAGTTTTTCAAGTATCAATTAGTCAAATCGGTAATCCGATCTAAGAAGATTGTAATTATGTCGGAAGACAATGAAATAAGAGCAAGAGAAGCGAGATTACCGCGGGTGTAGACCGTAATCCCATATTCCGGCGGAATCACATGTCTAGTTGATTTTCTTTCTTGTGTTACGTGTATGTGATTGATCTAATTGTAGATATACAAATTGAAGCTAAAACTATTATTAATAGTTTTTTTTTTTATATGTTGTGTAACTAAAAGTAGTTTGATACGGATTGTTTAACAAAGTATTTTTATAGTGTATATCAAAAGTGTTTTACATGAAGTTTAACAGGTATGATGTTTTGCTTTTTTAGAAATATCTTTAATCAAATTGTTATTAAAAATTAAAAGTGTTTACCTATCAAAAGTGTAAAACATGGCCATGATCATTGTCTAGAAAAAATTTTGAGTAAAAAAAACAAATTTTATAACTTTTCCTGTGGGAAAACTAACATTGAAAAGTTTTAAAATGTCAAAAATATATACATTAAAAACACTTAAAAAATAAAAGTTGGAATATATATATATATATATATATATATATATATATATATATATATATATATATATATATATATATAATTTTGAACTACACTTATTTGGTAAATATTTTTAAAACTATACCTATTTGGTAAATAAGTTTTTAAAATACACCTATTTGGTCAAAAACTCACTGAATCGGACATATAATGAGTTAAAGAGATTGGCAAAATGAAATAAAGAACAAAGAGGATGATAAATAAGAATGGGGAGGAAGAGATTGGACAAACAAACCGATGAGATTGGACAAACAAAAAGGATGATAAGAAATGGTATCCATTCCAAATCATACCCAACTTCCCATTTTCTTTCATCTTCTTGAAACTTCCCCTTTTGCTACATTTTAGTTTTGATTTATACACTTTGGTCGAGTTTGATTATGATTTATTTTTTTTTTGTTGGGGATTTAGCTATGCTCCTTGAACATGGAAATGAAATCAACGAAGAAAACGAGAGGGGAAACGGTCATTTTGGCATATTTAACAACTAAGTTATTACAATTGATAACCTAAGGACAAAAAATTTTATAAAACATTTCAATAAGAATCATAATTACAAATAAATAAATAAATAATTGGACCTGATCCAAACAGACATCACAGGAACCAAAATTGTAATTTAGTCTATTCTATACATATTTATAAACTTTTGAGTAAATTACAAAAACAGTCCTTGAGAGAAAATTGCAACTTACTTACATTTCACTATCAATATGGGTAACATATTCTATTTGTATGTATGTTGCTCTTCTTGGTAATAAATTGTACATACATTTCTATTATGTGACATGTGTAAAGAAATGTAATTATGTTGCCTACTATTAAAAAACTAGTGTGTTGCTATTATGAGTAAAAAAATGTAACTAAATTGCCATTAAGGGTAAAAACACAGTACATTGTCTATATTAGTAAAAATATTGAAGTACGATTTCTAGAAAACTCTAATTTGATCTTCTAAACAGCAAAACCTCAACTAGAAGTATAAAGAACACTAGCAACAAACACTCTAAGGAGAGATGTTGCACATAGCTCACTTTGACAATGCATAATACTAAAATAAGAATGTGTGGTGTAAACATACAATCTTGGAAAAAAGATTCAATTCACTGCATGCAAAAGCCACATTGCTACCAGATTTACAAGTAAATAAAAAACCATCATCTCTAACTTTGGACAAAACAAACAGTTTGGGGGATTAAATTTTCAGAGAGAATGTACCATTTATCACAATGAGTTACTGAACCATAAGAAAGATCTCACCTTGCACCAAATACAGAAAGTCAGAAACCACCTGTAAATCAACAAGTTACAATGTAAGATGAGGATCATCTACAAAAACATTATCACAGACACCATTATGCTCAAGCTACTTTACCAGAAGCCAATGCTAATGTTGCAAACCAATATTCTCCTGCATAGCATGATTATTTTTGGGTAAATGTTCTTGATCTACTACTAACACTGAATCATTCTTTTGCCCTAAATCTTCATTACGATTATACACTGCTCTCATCTTATTCTGCACTTCAGACAAGGCGATTCCATCAGCATTCTCTTTTAATACCACAGACTTGAAAGCTTCGGACACCTGATTCGCAGCAACTACTTTGTTGTTGTTGTTAATTCGAACATCTATCATAGGCATAGCCACAACTTTGTTACCATTGATGTTTTTTTTCTTTTCGTTTTCCATTAGGTACACAACATGATCAAGAGCCTCCCTGGCTCTCTTCCTCGTGTACGAAGCTTCCTTCGCTCTCCTATCGGCTTCTGCAACTGCCACCACCTCTGCTTTACTCATTGACAGAGATGATATCTCCGCAGCAGTTACCAGCAGTCTCGCTGCATCATTATCCATCCCCCCATTTCCATCGGTTCTTTTGGGATCGAAAACAAGGCGGCTAGGGTTTAAGCAAGTGGCGCAAGGGGAAGGGGAAGGGGAAGGGGCACGTGAAGAGGGAGTAGGTGCGGAAATGGGAGGGGAGACGCAGGTAGGGTGGGCGGAAGAGTAGCATTTGTTGCAAACGACAGCGTGTTCGGGGGGTGAACGGTCGTAAACAATGAAACAGGTGGGGCAGAAATACTGGGAGTGGAGACGGAGGACACAAGTGGTGCAGAGACGGCGAAAGTTACCTCCGCGACGGACGTGGTGCAGGATTTTCCGATCTAGGAAACCGCAGTGGCCGCAGACGGTGTTTGCTGTGGGATTGTTAGCTTTCATCATGATTTCTCGATCAATCATGAACCCTAAGAAATGAGATTTTAGGGTTTACGTTACAAGAAAATCGGAGATGGAGAGGGACGGGTTTCTTTTGCTTTGACTAACAAACGGTAACGGTGAGAGATCAGGAAAATTGAACCGTTCATTTACTTTCAGGGTCGAACTTAACAGGTGAAAATAAATTTCCTTATCTCTGTGTACTAATAAAAAAAAATAGTTCTTTTTTATTAAACCTTTTAATCTTTAGATAAATTTGTAAAAATGGTCTATGTGGTATGTAATTTTTTAATATTTTTATTCTAAACTATGATTTTTTATTTTTATTTTTTGGATCGGTGATCATTTGAAGGTGGTTTACTAGTACGGTAAACTGAAAAGACTAAATTGCCCTTATTATATTTATTTTACATTTTTTTTCTTTTAAGTATTTATATTAAAAAAAATAAAAATAAGGGCCCATATTCTCTCTCTCTCTCTCTCTCTCTCTCCAAAATGAGGAAAAATCCTTTCATTTTCTTTATAATCCTTTTCTTATCCCTTTTCGTTGTCGGTAAACCTAACCTAAAGAAAAATCCTTGCACATGGTCCGGTGTCTTCTGCGACAACAAAACCAACCGTGTTGCCAAACTTCACTTCCCTAGAATGGGTCTCTCCGACGAACTCCCCGACAACACCCTCATCAATTTGACCCAACTCACCACTCTCAGTCTTCGTTACAATGCCCTCTCCGATCCACTCCCCACATACATCTTCTCACAAGTTAACCTCTGTAATCTCTACCTCCAAGATAATCTGTTTTCAGGCCCAATTTCGGATTCGTTTTCCCCTCTTGTGAATCTTGTTAGGGTTAGCTTTGCGAACTGGATTGGGATTCCAGATTTAATCCCAATATAGCTTCCAATTCCAATTCCATATCCCAACAGGCTACACAATTCCATGCCAAGACATCAACATAATATATGACTTAACGAGCTACAATGAAGATGGACATTAGTATCACCTCCAGAGGAAAGAAATAAATTCTCTTGAGGTATTCCTCTCCCATATCATCATCAGCTTTGGTGATATTTCTTTCTGATTAAACTATAGAGTGAGTGGAGGAAGAGGGAATATCGATGGGCTGGGTAACACCATATTCAACATTGTAGCGTCCATTGCTCTAATGCTTCTTTGTTGTATGTGTTTGAGGACGAGAACGAGGAAGATAATGGAGTAGATATTGGCTTCGTGTAACAATTGGCAAAAATCAGTCTGAGTTCGTCAGTCAAACCACCGCAAACCGCTAAGTATTAATGAAAATTTATGTGTAATTTTGATGTTTATAATATATATTAAATATATTATATTTATAATTTCTTTTATAACATCCCAAACTGCTTAAACCATCTATCATCACTCATCAGTCCAGGGGGAACCAACATCACTGGTTCAAGGGGAACTCCCGTCATCAATCCAAGGGGAACCTTCCTCAAAACCTACATATCAAATCCTAACAATCTGAGAATCATTTGCAGGATGCTCTCAGACCGTAGGGGAACCTCTCTCTCCAATCACACCCGAAGACATCTCAGATGTAATGGATGTCCCCTCAAGTGTAGCCACATACCATCAACAATCACAATACATGTTTGGACAAGAGATCATCCACCGAGTCAAATCATTGCCAACCCATCCTCAGGTATTCAAACTCGATCCTCTTCTAATTTTTAATAACCATTGTCATTTATGTAGCATTCACGTCTTTGGTCAAGCCCATAACAACAAAAGAAGCTCTTATGGAGCCCGACCGGATCATTTCAATGCAAGAGGAGCTAGCTAAGTTTGAAAGGAATAAAGTTTGGAATGTGGTACCGAACCCAAAAGGTCACACAATCGTCGGTACTAGATGGGTGTATAAGAACAATATATATATATATATATATATATATATATATATATATATATATATATATATATATATATATATATAAATCCGGTGTTGTGGTAAGAAACAAAGAACGATTAGTCGCCAAGGGGTATTATCAACTTGAGGGTGTTGACTACGATGAAACTTATGCCTTGTAGCAAGAATGGAAGCCATTTGTATCTTCTTAGCATATGTTGTTCATAAAAACATCAAGGTCCATTAGATGGATGTAAAAAGTGTGTTCTTAAATGGCGAACTGAAAGAGGAAGTATACCTGCAACAACCTCCAGGCTTTGAAAGCTTAGAATTTCCAAACCGCTGTCACAAGCTGGAGAAAGCAGTGTGCGGTTTAAAGCAAGCACCTAGAGTGTGGTATGAGACTATCTATGAGTTTCTTGTCACCTCAGGATACAAAAGATGTGTGATTGATCCAACGTTATTTAGATGAGCAAATGACAATCACTTGATGCTTGTACAAATATATGTGGATGACATCATCTTCGGGTGAATGTATCAGGGTATGGTGGATGAATTTTCAAGGCTAATGACAAGCAAGTTTCAAATAAGAATGAATAGAGAGATCAATTTATTTCTAGGACTTCAAGTTAAACAAGTCCCTTAAAGGATATGCATTCATCAGGAGATGTACACCACTGAATTTTTGAAGAAGTTTTCAATGGACAATTGTTCTTCGGCAAAGGTCCCTATGGTGTCACACCCCCGAACCAGACGGTGGAAACGTCCGAGGGTTCGTGTGACTTAAATTGAAATATCATCACAATGAATATACATGAAACATACATAAACATCACCATGCATTAATACATTACAACTGACTTTGTTCACATCAAGTACATTATTTACATGACATATTTCAAAACATAAATTGCCTGATGATTAACATTTCACAAAAGAAATTTCCTGAAACACACTTGGGGGTTCTTCAGTCTAACGATTTCCTGAAAATACAAAATATTTTGAAAACGTCAACATATATAATGTTGGTGAGTTCATAAGCATGTTTGATATAAAACTAGTTTGTGTTGTTTGTAAAACCCAGAAAATCCAATATTTTTTGTACAAAAACTGTTTGCTAAAAAGATGTGATGATCCCATAGTGCATATGTATGTGATTTCAAAACATGTAAAAGTGATTTTTATTCAAAATTGATTCTTGTATTATAGTTGTTGTATGTAGGAGTGAATAATGTTGTTTCCCCCGGAAAACCCGATGTTTTCCAATATAAATAGTATAATAGATTTGTATTATTGTATCGCTACAACGTATGAATATGATTTCCCATGATTACTTAGATGGTGATGGATCTCTATGTGCGTCGTTATAACCATGCATAATAATGACTAATTCGCCTGTCTTGGCATTTTATCGGATGCCGGTTTTGATTAAGATTTTGTCACCCTAGACTGGCCGAGTCTAACTGTAGCGAACAACTCAAGTGTGGGGGAATCACCCCCGTATAGATCTATACACAAACTTTCGCTCTCCCTCTAGGAGACTCTGGTTATAACTACAGACTACGACCGACACTTATTGGTGCCACCCGTTATTTCTCACCAAATCCCATGAAATTGAATAACCTTGTTTTATAACCCGAATGATGATTACGTGAATATGAAGTAAGCCTAACAGACATGAAAAAGGACAATGGTGGTCCACTAATTATGTATGTTATTATAGACTATCGAGTATGCTACGGATACGTTATAGCCAATTAAGCATATTATGAATGTTTATGGTCTTATTAGCAATGCAAATCGACCATTAAGACCCAATAGCATGTTAAAGCTGATAAAGGCCCATTGGGTATGTAATTGGGTCACCGAAAGGCCAATAAACATGTGTGCATATGTTGGGCCCAATAATCATGATATTGGGCCACAAAGGCCCAATAGCACGAATAGAAGATATTTGAGCCCAACCATCGAATCATTTATAAATTAATTGATCTTAAATTCATAGTGTAGGTATCTGTTGTAAGCTGAAAGTTCATTTGAAGTGTTAAAATGTTTTATAGTTTGATTTATAATGAAGCTTTGGTTATATATATATATATATATATATATATATATATATATATATATATATATATATATATATATATATATATATATATATATATAAACCATGCGTTATAAACTTAATATTTTTAACCCAATAATTTAATATTTGTCTTTTTGCCCCAAAAATATTTAATTTGACTATTGCAGCCCCTTTATCCATAAAAATGGCAATTTTAGTTCATTTTTATGAAAATTAACATTTTTGGTCCTTAAACCATTTTCTTGACATTCTCAACCCAAACTCTATTTAAATATTAGTTTCAGCTCAAACTATTGTATTTGTCATTTCCAATCTTTATTTGTAAAAAGTTTACATTTTTGGCTCAATTCCGTAAGTTTTACAATTTTTACCCTCAGTATCAAAAACTTTGCAATTTTAGTCCCATTTTTGCATTAAAGTCATTTTTAGCCCCTGAAATAGTTTATTTACGTTTTAGACTAATAGTTTGTTAAGTTTTCCATTTTAGTCCCTCAAAACTTCATTTTTTCGCAACTTTGGGCCCAAAAACTCGTGAGGCCCAAATTAAAGCCCAATAAGCTAAATTTTATGTTTTTGACCCCTAAAAAAGTTTTATTTTCATAAAAGTCATATTTTTATGTGAATAATACCATTTAATCCTTACAGAACCAAAAATATCATAATTTACCTAAATCTTTGCTATTTTTGGCAAAAATGACACTTATAAGGATTTTAACTTTGTTTTCACTTCTTAAGCCTAAAGACCCTTAGATCTTTGAAGTATGTTCTTTATTATGTTATTTTGTTCATGTATCCTTCAACTTTAGCCATAGATTTCAAGATTTAGCAAATAATATCATATTCTCACAACATAAACCAAAGAAATCATATATAACAAGCATACACACATAGATCAACACTTAGTACTTGTATTCTCCCCCAAAAATAATTAAAAACCAAAAACAAGGGGTATGAACTCACATTGCTTAGTTGCTCACGGTTTTGAAGAAGGATTGGAAGAAGGTGATGTGGTTTTCGGTCTTAGACACTTCCTTGAAGAGAATTTTCGAACTA